TATCGGAGTTAGTTGCAGTAGTTGTTTCAAGTTTGTTGTATGACCTTATGATCTATTTAAGAAGTCTTTCTCTATGAATAAAAATCAGAACTTTCGTTTACATCTCTTCCTAAGGCTCATTGTCCTTGTTTACAGTAATAAGTGGTATCATAGCTTTATCACTAAACCAAATACCAGAGAAACATGAGTGAGAGAGATAACTTGCTAAGCATACCCAAGTTCGACGGAGACTATGAATATTGGGCGATGCTTATGGAAAATCTGCTCAGATCCAAGGAGTGGTTGGATCTGATAGAGACTGGAGTCACAAGACCAGAAAGGAATGTGATCCTCACTGGACCTCAAAGAACAGAACTCGCAGAGGCAACACTCAAGGACCTGAAGGTGAAGAACTACCTATTTGCTTCAATAGACAAGACGATACTCAAAACGATCCTGAAAAAGGATACAGCTAAGGAGCTGTGGGGATCCATGAAGAGCAAATATCAAGGCAATTAGAGAGTTCAGAGTGCCCAATTACAGAGACTGAGAAGGATTTTTGAAGTACTAGAGATGAAGGATGGAGAAACCATCTCAGAGTATTTCTCAAGGGTGATGTCTGTTGTCAATGACATGAGAAATCTAGGAGAAGAGATGGCAAACTCCAAAGTAGTGGAGAAGATTTTGAGAACCTTGGTGGAGAAGTTCACTTATGTAGTATGTGCCATAGAAGAATCCAATGACATTAAGGATCTCACCGTAGATGGACTACAAAGCTCGCTTATGGTCCATGAACAGAAGCTGGTAAGACATGTGGGTGATGAACATGCCTTGAAGATGGAAAGCAGATGGAGATCAGACGGAGGAAGAGGTAGAGGAGGTTCATCGTCTAGAGGAAGAGGAAGAGGAAACTTCAACAAAGAAACCGTGGAGTGTTACAAATGCCAGAAGATGAGGCATTTTAAGTATGAGTGTCCAAGCTGGGACAGGAATGCTAACTATGCTGAACTGGAGGAAGACATATTACTCATGGCATGTGTAGAAGAGAGGGAGAAAGAAGAAGAACACGTCTGGTTCTTAGACTCTGGCTGCAGTAATCACATGAGTGGGATGAGAGACTGGTTCTTTGAGTTTGATCAACATTTTAGACAAAATGTGAAACTTGGAGACGACAGGAGAATGGTGGTAGAAGGGAAAGGGAACATTCGACTCCAAATCAATGGAACAACTCAAGTAATCACCTCAGTGTACTTTGTTCCAGGCTTAAAAAACAACCTTCTGAGTGTAGGCCAACTTCAACAAAAGGGGTTAAAAATAATCATTGATGATGACGTGTGTGAAGTGTGGCACAAGGAACAAAGAAGGATGATTATGGAGTCCAAGATGAGTAGAAACAGAATGTTTGTGATCTCGGCAGTAAACAAGGCTCAAGACAGTAACTGTGAGAAGAAGTGTCTCAAGGTAACAGGAGAGAAAACAGAGGAGCTGTGGCATAGAAGACTTGGTCACTTAAGTCACAACGGAATTAAAAAACTTGGCGAGAAGAATATGGTCACTGGATTACCAGAACTTGATCATAAAGAAGCTGAGATCATCTGTGAAGGGTGTATGAAGGGAAGGCAGAACATTCCAAAGAAGAGCATGTGGAAGTCAAGTCGAGGTCTAGAACTAGTACACAGTGACATTTGCGGTCCCATTACACCAACATCGACATGCAAAAGGAGGTACATCATCAATTTTATTGATGACTTTAGCCGCAAATGTTGGTCTTACTTCATTTCAGAAAAGTCAGAAGCACTAAAGACATTCAAAAAGAACAAGGCTGGTGTGGAGAGAGAGCTTGGTCAACCACTTGTGTGCTTAAGAACAGACCGAGGAGGAGAGTATAACTCCAATGAGTTCCAGGAGTACTGCAAAGAGAATGGTATTAAGAGACAACTGACTGCTGCGTACACTCCTCAGCAGAATGGAATCGCAGAGAGGAAGAACAGAACCGAATTAAACATGACAAGGTGTATGCTATTGGGTATGTCTGTTCCAAGAAAGTTCTGGCCAGAATCTGCACAATATGCTGTCTACATACTGAATCGGAGTCCTGCAAGTGCACTAGGAGATGTCACTCCTGAGGAAATGTGGAGCAGTCATAAACCATCAGTTGCTCACCTCAGGACCTTTGGGAGCATCGGTTATGTCATGATACCTTACGAGAAAAGAATCAAACTCGACGAGAAGAGCATCAGATGTGTCTTGATGGGAGTTAGCAGAGAATCAAAGGCATATAGAATGTATAATCCGGAAACAGAGAAGATCATCATAAGCAAAGATGTGAAGTTCGATGAAAGTAAAGGTTGGGAGTGGGAAGAAAGTAAACAAGACAGTGGACCTTTCTGGGAAGGACTAATTGAGGAGTCAGAAAGAGAAGAAGAAGAGAATGAAGTAACAGAAGAACCACGAGAAAATGGTGGAACCAGAGTACACGAACCTGATACAATTCCTCCAGAAACTGCAGTTGAAGGAATTGGGGAAGGAAATGAAAGAGAAGCATCTCAACAAAGCTCTGGAGAAACTTCTCAACAAGCCTCTGCTGGAAGAGTAAGAAGAACACCAGTGTGGATGAAAGACTACATCTCTGGACAAGTCAATTTTGTCATTGAAGAAGAAGATGACACCATGATGGCAATGTTCACAGCAAATGGAGATCCAGAAACATTCCAAGAAGCTGTAATGGAGGATAGATGGAGAGAAGCGATGGTTACAGAGATGGAGCCTATAGAAGCAAACGACACATGTGACCTGGTTGAGATACCTGCTGGAGCCAAACTCATTGGTGTCAAATGGATATTCAAAACAAAGCTCAACGAGAAAGGGAAGGTTGATAAATATAAAGCTAGATTGGTGGCAAAGGTCTATCATCAAACACATGGTATTGACTTTCATGAGGTCTTTGCTCCAGTGGCTAGATGGGATACCATCAGAACCATCTTGTCACTTGCAGCACAGAGAAAATGGAAGGTACTGCAGTTAGATGTTAAAAGCGCCTTCCTCAATGGAGATTTAAATGAAGATGTGTTCATTGAGCAACCAGAAGGATTCGAAGCAGAAGGTACCATTGGAAAGGGTTACAAGCTCAAGAAGGCACTATATGGGCTTAAGCAAGCACCTAGGGCATGTTACCAGCGTATCGAAGGCTATTTTTTGAGTGAAGGTTGCACACCCTCTTCATCAAGAAGCACGAAGAAGGTATTTTAATTGTCAGTCTTTATGTAGACGACCTCATATACACTGGAAACTCTGATGTGATTCTTGAAGGTTTTAAGAAATCTATGATGAAAGAATTCGCAATGACAGACCTTGGGCGTATGAGGTTCTTTCTAGGTGTAGAAGTAACTCAGATGAAGATAGCATCTTCATAAGTCAACACAAGTATGCAGAAGAGGTTCTGAAAAGGTTTGGGATGGAGGAATGCAATCCGGTTAGGAATCCTATGGTTCCTGGGCAAAAGCTATCTAAGGAAGAAGCAGGCGAAGAATTAGACTTAACCATGTTCAAACAACTCGTGGGAAGCCTAAGGTACTTGACAGTGACACGTCCAGATATCATGTTTGCAGTCAACTTAGTGAGCAGATACATGGAACATCCTACTGAGCAACACTTACTGGCCGCAAAGAGAGTGCTAAGGTATCTGCAAGGAACGTTAGAGTTTGGGATTCAGTACAGAAGAGAAGGAGGAAAAGAAATGTTTGGGTATGCAGACAGTGACTACGCAGATGATATTGATGATAGGAGAAGCACCTCAGGTTATGTCTTTGTGATGAGTGGAGGAGCAGTTTCATGGACGTGTAAGAAACAGCCAATTGTTACCCTCTCTACAACAGAAGCAGAGTTTGTTGCAGCGGCTTATGGGGCTTGTCAGGCTGTGTGGTTGCGAAACATCTTAGAAGAAGTGGGAGTGGAACAGAAGAAGGGAATGAGATTGTACTATGACAACAGCTCTACCATCAAGCTCTCTAAGAATCTTGTGCTACACGGCAGAAGCAAACATATCCATGTAAGATTTCATTTCTTGAGAGAACTTGTGACTGATGGGATCATTCAGCTTGACTATTGTCCAAGGGAGGAGCAGTTATCAGACATTATGACAAAGGCTGTGAAGTTAGATGTATTTGAGAAGCTCAGGTTGAAGATGGGAGTGTGCGTAAAGGAGAATTAAACTGGAAAGGAGCTGTTCCAATTTAGGGAAGGATATGTTGAATAAGAATGATTTGTTGAGGTGTTCAAGACGTAATGATTGAGTCTGTTTCATATGTTTTATTTGAATAAGTCGACCAGATATTTAGGAAGTAGAAGAGTGGAGATTGTTGAGTCTTTATCGGAGTTAGTTGCAGTAGTTGTTTCAAGTTTGTTGTTTGACCTTATGGTCTATTTAAGAAGTCTTTCTCTATGAATAAAAATCAGAACTTTCGTTTACATCTCTTGCTAAGGCTCATTGTCCTTGTTTACAGTAATAAATGACATTGAAAAAGCGCGGATCAAAAATCTAGTGAGATATTAAAAAAGCCAATTTACAAAAATTTTACCAAGTCATATTAAAAGAGGGAACTGGACAAGGCTAAATGCAGCACGAGGTATTGATGTTTGCTCGAAACATAACTCCCTCCTTACTTACGCAAACAAAACATGTTTCATCGTCTATTCGTCTTCACCCAGAAAATCCCAGTGCATAAACACGTCAATGACATTGACCCGCAAAAGCTTAGCCTCCATCCATATGCCACAATGTCGCTAGCAAAGGAAGGCGCCTCTCCTCTACCAAGTGAAAGAAGTGTTGAGCATCGCTTGCACAATGATTTGGGCCTATGAATATGATTAATGGTCCATTAAAAAAGAATAAATTCTTAGGATATGGGCCATACAGCTGGACATGATACAGCTATTCTTGTAACCAAACAAAAACACGAGCAATTTTTCTTCAATTAGGTTTAGGCGATATAAAAAGCTAACCGAAACCCAAATCCTATAGTAGTCCCCTTCTCCGTCGAAACCCTAATTTCATATCTTCCTCGAGCTTTGATTACGATGGCGAAATCAATGAGATGCAAGAGGGTGAAGAGATTGAGAGCAATTAGAAGAGAGATAGTTGAGAAGGAAGCATTCACTCTAACGAGAGACGACGCCAAATCCGCCGCCATCGAAGCCGCACTCGCCGCCCCCAAATTACCTGTTCGTCAACCACCTCCTTCTCCGTTCATGGAAGTTGCGACGCCGACCTCCGAGTCTGCCTCTGCCTCTGTCGCCAACGGCATGGGTATGTTTAATTTCCGTATCTTTGAATGTGTTGATGGTAACTGCTGTTTGGTTTTGTTCGATATGTCTGTATCTTTGAAAGTGTTGGTGGTAACATAGCTATGTTCTGTAATGGATACTGTCGTTTGTTTTTTTTGGCAGATGTGGAAATGGATGACGAGAAGCATAGTAAGTCTCTTAAACCCATTGGGAGGAAGTTGAAGAAGAAGTTTAAGATGGGGATGAAGAATCGTCGCAGTAAGGGTGTCCTTCGTGGCAAGCGTGTCTAAGTTCCACCCAAGTTAGGCTTTTTTTATGTTCTGTTTTGTTTCACTTCTCATAAAAATGTTCCCTCTACATTCCTTCCTCCGAAGGCTCTTAATTGTCTTACTGATTGTTATACTCTTCTTTTGGCGAGTTTGGAGTTTTAGAAACTATAAAACGTGATTTTGAACCTTAGACATGTCTGCTTTTACCCTCGCATATACTATCATTTTTCTTGCATCAGAAACTAACATGTTGGAAACTAGTAAAAATCATCTATTGTCTTGGATCTTGATATGGCTGTAACTGGATTAATCATTTGTAGAATAAAATCTGGATGGAATGACTTATTAATGCAATTTCCAAAAGAATACTACTCCTAAATGGAATAAAAAGTAAATTTTATTTTAATGATTCCCGTGGATTAAGTGAAACAATTGGAATGTGGTTATAGATCATTTATCATTAATATGCATGAAAAGTAAGGAAATATTCTCAGATAACTCCAGAAATTACAATATCACAATTCATGAGTATGATAAATACGAAGAAGGGGACTGTGCATGCATACAAAAACATGTTTTTTTTGCAGCAAACAAATTTTCATTAACTTCAAATGAAAAAAGTTAATTACAATAAGATTATAGAACTTTAGAACTAGTGAAAACAAATTATTACATACACATGTATAATACAAAACAATGAAGAAACTATAGAATAAAAATTTTCACGATGTTTTCCAAGGAGTAGTTTACTTGCCTTTTAGACGATGATTTTCACATATGTTAGACCATCTTTAACGCTGCCTTTTAAGTGGACTCTTAGATTTAAGAAAAAGTTTAAAACAGAAGAAAGACGAAGGCCCGACTCTTCCAGAAGGTCTGAAAGGCCCACCTCTTAGGTGCCAGGTGTCAAGACATAATCAATTTTGGCTCTCTCTCTCTCTCTTTCTCTCGAAATTTCTCCCAATCCGTTGGTTCGACGACGTGTTCTTCGGTGGCTCACATCGGCGATATCTCCTCCGGTGGCTTCCGTCGGCGACCTCTCTCTCGGTAGTTCTCGGTGGCGCGGTGGTTGATTGGTTGCTGGAGACAGTGGCAACAACACCGACAGTCTTCGAACCCAGTTGTCATTTCTAAATACAAAACCTTTAAACGTACGACAGCAGGTCCCCTTCCATTCGATTTCAGTCATGTGATTCTCAGATTAATGTGTTAGATACTGGGGAATGATATGTGGTTTCTGATTTCATTTTTGGCATTTTGATCTGTTTTTTTTTTTTTGTGGTTAAAGATGTTAGCTTTGGATGTGTTGATTTAAGAAGAAAGAAAGTAGAGATTGCAGGATTTGTCATCTTCCTTTCGAGAAGATGGTTCTAATGACTAAGAAGAAAATGAAGAAAAAGTAAAAGAAGGTGAAGATGAAAAAGAAAAAGAGCAATTGGGTTGCCTTTGCAATTGGGTTGCTCTTGTAAAGGTGATTTGGATGTACCTCACAGTAAGTGTGCTGAAACTCGGTTCAAGATCAAAGAAACATGTTAAGGGATCTTCAGTTATTCTCAAAGACTTCTTTTTCCCCTCTTTTTTTTTCTAGAAAATTCTACATATTCTTATGAATCTGTGGGGAATAAAATAGTTAAGTGTGAAACTGAATGAGAATCTCGCAGTCTCTTTTGGGCTGTGATTGTTTGTTGTGTCAATTATATCATGTTTTTGTGATTTGCTTTGCATTGAGAATCTTGCAGTCCTTTTTTTGCGTAGTTTCATTCTCTTACTAGTCACCATTATACCAAGAGTTCTGTCTAGCGTCTTTGCATTGTTTTAAGCAGTAGTAACTAACCGGTTAGAGTTAAATCTTCTCTTCTGTGTTTGTAATTATTGTGAATTGTAATTACACAGATGATGTCCAATCCGGCTTTGATGATGGAAACTAAGAGTATGTAGAACATGAGGCCTGAAGATTTGAAACAAGCTGCTGAACAGCTCAAGCATACTCGCCCTGAAGATTGAGAAGATGGAAAATGCTTCCCCTGAAGAGATTGTTTCTATGCGGCCCAAGCTGATGCTTACTTCACTTATCAAATCAACGCAGCTCACATGCTGAAAAAACAGGTACTACTTTGATTTTGTATGTTATTTATATATGTGTAACTTGATCCTCAAACCATTGGTATATGGTATTCATTTTATTTGGCAGGGGAATGAGCTTCATAGCAGAGGAAATTTCAGTGATGCTGCAGAGAAATATTTGCGTGTAAGACTACTTCATATGTATCTTTTTCTCATGTTATTTGACTTTCTTTGTTATCAACAAGATTTTTTTTTTAAAAAAATCCCTAAATAAGAAACTAGCATTGGAGGACAAAATTAAGGTGTCTCTAAACTAAAATTCTTAATACATTTATATACTAAATTAATCATTAAGAGACCCTAATGGGGGTTGTCGGTTAATGATGCTTTTATTGTCCAATTTCATATTTATTTTTTTCCGATATAATTTGTATGCAGCTTCAGGCTGAATTTTCTTTTCACAAATCTTTATTTCCAAACGTAATTTCGAAAATAGATACTTTGGTATGAAACAGTCCTTACCAAAATCCTTCGAAGATATTGCAGCATTCTTGGAGAATATAATTTCGTTTTGACATTGGAAAACCTAAGATATTTGGCTAACCAAAACACCACCCAGTCTCGGATTGTGACATTGGAGCCTTCTAAACATAGCCTGGTTGGTGTCTTACTTTGTAGTGTTTTTTTTGGCGAGCCTGGAGTATTATAAAACCCCTGTAACGTGATTTTGAACCTAAGAGATATCTGATTATGCCCTCCCATTTATTTTTTTTCTTGCACCGGCCACAAACTACTTTTAGACATGTTTAAATCATATTTGACTGATATAATGGCTGTAATATGTGGCACATGTAAAGCAGAGATACAAATCTTTGTAACAAAACAACAATTCTCGGTATTAATCAAGCTTCACATATTTCTGTTGTTCATACAACGTATTACAAAATTAAAATTGAAACAGAACAATAAATTATTTGTCAAGAAATATTCTCTTATAAACTCAGCACCGATTTTATTAAAAAAATCAGTAATGTTTAGAGTTAGATTTGCTGCAAACCGTCCTGATCTCTCCAATACGATCTTCACCAGTGATGACACCAACATTGACCAGCTTGGCCATCGAGACACCAAACTGGTGTCTGAACATCTGAGGCGGCTGCTCCGCAAATGCCTTTACAAGTGGAGCGGTCCTCGGGTCCTTCACAAGCTCCGCATCGGTCGTCAAAACTCCCATATTCTTCTGAAGATTAATGTAATACTGATTATCGAATACCACCGGAGTCATGGCGTCTAGGTAAACTGTCTCTGATGCCCAACGACACTTGCGACGCAAGAAATCTGCGTATTTGGTGTCAATCGATGGATCAGTTCCATGGGTCGCGTTGAAGTTGTAAAGCCTCGACTGGATGGTTCCACAGTAGGCTTTTCCGATGGTGTGGGCTCCAGAAAGGACAACAAGGTCGAGAATGTTGAGTCCGTAAGATTGAAACGTCTCGAGAAGGGCAGTGATGTCACGGCGGCCTGAAGGGACTTTCTCGACGTCTCTAGCGTAAGAGTTGGTGGAGTCACGACGTCCATAAGCGTTGGGCCAGTAAGGACCACCTAGTTGGTAGGTGGCGCTGCGGCTAGCTGCGGTTAGGATGTCGGCACAGGAGACTAAACCGGGGCAGGATTTCTCGATCTCGGACTTGATATCGTCGATTAGCTCGAATCCTCTTAGGGTTTTGCTTGCTGGAGCTCTTCTCTCTGATCCTTCGTGGTCTAGAAGAACCGAAGCATCACATCCCTGAACGTTATCCATTCACAAAAAAATTGTTATCTTCTCATCACTAACACTACTTATGTTTCATCTATTCTTCAAAATCAATTTAATCTAAATCATTTTTTTTTGATTAGTTGGTTTTGTCATTGAATTCCGCATATTTCATTTATTTATTTTATCCAATCTTAAGTGTTACCAACACAAACTCTAATAGCATTAGAAGAACAATCAATTCAGGTCAACTTTCATTATATATACGAACGAAAACATTAGCTATACCGTGGGAGTATATGAGGTTAATATGTAAAAGAATATTTAAAAAGGTAGAACTGGGATACCGTGACGCCGCAATCGTGGAAGACAAGACGGAGGAGAGCTGGACCAAGGGAAGGATCAGTCTTTGTCCATTCCCTCACTTTTGTGTCTACGATTTTCTCAAATTTTGGACAAATCTTATCATAATAACCCAACGATAGCTGATTGTCCAAAGGAAACCATGACTTGGTGTCATCTTCCTCGTCGTCGCCTCCGTATCCTCCCGCTCCCGGTAAGTCTTTCCTGTCCGCCGATACCGGCCAGGCCACAAGGATCACGAGTAGGGCGGCAACGGAGACCACGGCCAACTTCATTTGTTGCCTTGTTATTTGGTTGGATTTGAATTTGTTTGAGATGGTACCGAGAGATGTCTCTGAGTAATTTATATATTGGGTTTGGAAATGAAGGTGTTGGTTTTACGTGGGAGGCACACCTTTAATATTTTAATAAACTCTATATGACTTGCTTGCATGTCGTCTATGATGTTGTTGATATCTATAATATATGCCTTCTTTTATAAGAGACAACAAGAATTTGATAGTGATCTCCACATTATTGAAATCAGCCTTTTGACTTATTTGGATTAGATTGTTATTATATAATTTTTCGTCAGCTTGAACTGGGCTATTTTATCTGGTTCATTAGTCGGTTATTACTTATACTAGGTGGACCGCCCCACATATGTGTGGGCATTAATATGATTTATATTGTATGTATTTTCTTTTTAAACACGATTTATATTGTATGTATAGCTATTATTATTATTAGTGCATAAGTATATCGTAATTCTCTCTCAATTTCTCTGTATCTTTTTATCTCACTAATTTTAAGTTCTTTCTCTTTTTCATTATTTTTTTTATTCTTTCACCATAGTTTAATTTTAAGCGAAAATAATATATTGAATAAAATACAACAAAATAAAAAATATAGAGAACACTAAATTTTACAAAGGTCCCACAGTTCTGTGTTTTCAAACAAAATGATCACTGTTGAGTAGCGATTGCATGAACTTCTCAACCTCCAACAAACATAAATTGAATCTGAAATCATATAATTCATTCTCGGTCTCAAGTCATAGATCATCATCATCAAAGTAATATGTATAAATGAGTTTAGGAAACATTTTATTCAACTAACAAAAATAAGTATAACCGTCAACAATGGCTTAGAAAACAGTCAATAGGGTTTCAGGTCGTGCAGGGATATTATGGTAATTTGTGGTAACTCCTGGCCTAAATCAGTCGTAAAACATGTTCGGTCCAAATTCTGGTATCCATGTCGACTGATGTCAAGTGTGCTGCATTGATCGATTTTCGTTTATCTTCTCGACAGCTTCCTCTCGCGAGGCAGACTGACCACTTCTCAGTAAAATGGGCATAACTTCTGCTACAAGATGGTAATTGAACTTAAACCTGTGGCATTGGAACGATAACTCAAACATCAATCTTGTGTCAGATATGGGCTCAATCTAACGGTGGGAAGGTCTCCATCCATAGCTAAACATCTGACGCATCTGTGCAGTTCTACACTCAAACGACTCCAAAATCACCATATTTCTCTAGAACGTACCTGAACATGTAAATAATCTAAAAAGACTCTAAAACATAATAATTATATCTTAAAACTCTTATATACCATGGCTGAAAGTGGGTAAAATCCATGGTATATCAACTCCCCAGACTTACCCTTTTGCTTGTCCTAAAGCAAAGCAACATGCAATCTCTTTGGAAGAGGTTTGAAATCGCATGGACTCACAAAATCTTTAACTTACTACGATCACCTCTACTATGTTGCAACCACATCAAATAAGGGCTAAACTCATAAATACTTTATATACCATATCTTAGCTTAGCAACCAAATTCATTCTACCAGAAACTTAGCAATACTAGCTTGACTCACCTCTCTACTAACCTCATTTATTACATAAAATAAAATGCAGGCTTTACCTTGGGAGTATCGATCAGAGGATACTTGGACTCTTACCCAACAGGTATCTGAGTAAACAGGTTATCATATTCTGGTTTCTTTTCTCCATATATCCCTCTTCTCTGAATCTTTTCTAATTCAATGCTAGTAAACTAAGACATGTACTAATGCCTTCCATCTTGTTCACCTTTATTGATTTTATTTATTATTTTTTTTGACAAAGTTTAGGCGAATAATGGGGTCATCAGTAATGTACCTAACCCTCGCTTCCATAATGTGTGATCATTCCTTTGAATTTGAATAGTGGGGTCATGGGTAATGTACCTACCCCTGTGCATCTTAAGAAATCATCTCATTCTTTTTCTTTTTCTTTTTTTGATGCCAAAGAGAGGAAAGAAGGAAACCAATAATTTACAGACTTATACCTTTTAGACCTAAAGGAGGAATCCGATCTAATGTATACCAAGCCCCAAAGCAAGCAAATTAGTCAGATTAGGGTTGGAGGTCAGCTTCGGTTCCATCAAACTTACTAAGCAAGTGTGATCTTAATGACATGATGATCAACTTTAGTATCTCTAATACACTCTGCTGTCAACAAATCTAAGAATAGTGCTATAGTGTGGTTAGATAATAAAAAAAAAAAAATTAAACGATCATAATCCCCTTCTTGACTCAATAATTTTTTTTTTTAAAAAAACATCTTAATAAGACTCAAAAATAAACTAAATATCAGTAAACATCCTCCAGACTTAAATTACACTGTCCCAGTGTAAAACAGTCAGAGTTATGGCGAAAGAAATAAATCATAAGAACTCAATTGAACAAGATGAATCGAAGTACCTGACCGAACTCGGGATCGATCGATGGAATGGGGGTAGCATCGATAGCTGCAGGTGGTGTACCATCGATCGATATCGACTGGATTGATAGGCTGGTATTCCTTCTAATAGTGGGTTGCTCCCACTCAGCACTTATATTTAGTCATCAGCTTGATTGTGATACCATATCAATCGGTAGGCTGCACTCTCAAGCATGTAATTTGTTTATCTGGTATCTCTGCTTTTGCCCACTAATACTTTAATCTTCGTGCATTTACCGTGAACTCTTCTCTCTCAGTTTTGATTATCACTATGGTTCCATAGGGTCGGATTTCTTTAACAGTAAAGGGCCCAGACCAGTGTGAGAGCAATTTCCCAGGAAATATTGTTAAACGTGAATTATACAAAATCACATGGTCATTTGGTTCGAAATGTCTAGAAATGATCTTCTTATCGTGATAATCTTTTGTTTTTTTCCTTGTATAGCTTAGAGTTCGCATAAGCGTGATGTCTGATTTCATCTAACTCATTCAGCTGAACCAACATCCTTTCCCTAGCAGGCTTGATGTCAAAATTCATCATTTTTATGGCTTATACTGCCTTGTGTTCTAGCTCCACTGGAAGATGGCATGATTTCCCATAAATTAGATGAAATGGTGTAGTTCCGATTGGTGTTTTAAATGCGGTTCTGTAAGCCCAAAGTGCATCATCGAATTTTGTAGACCAATCCTTTCGTGTTTTTCCAACTGTCTTTTCTAGTATTTCCTTGATTTGACGGTTGAAAACTTCTACTTGTCCACTGGTCTGAGGATGATAAGGTGTAGCTACTCGATGGTGGACTCCATGCTTCAAAATTAGTTTCTCAAATACTTTGTTGATGAAATGTAGAGATGGCAATTGGGCTCTCCTGTCCCATCCCGTCCCGGACCGTTGCAGGTTCGTCTTCTAGCGGGACGCGGCGGGCCTGTCCCGCGCGGGATGCGATCTTGAAAATAGCTGCCCAATCCCGTACCGTATTTCTTGTAGGCCTTCGCGGGACGACCCGCGGGGCATGTGATAATACGCGCAGCAGAACAATTCAGGCCACTCCAAAACGCTTCAAGCCGTTCTAGGATATAGATCAAGTTGTCGATTCAACTGGACCTAATTCATCAATCACTACTTTGCTTATTTTTTATTCAAAACAATAATTGTAATTGTTTGTATCACACCCAAAACATATTAACATACAAAGTAAAAATTACTACAGAGGATATTTTTCAGTATCTTATAACTCATAAGTTCATAACCAATGTTTTAGTTTGCTGAATCCAAAAATTAAATAAAATGAAACACCAACAAAAATGTCAATCCCAAATTAAATAAAAAGAGAAACCAAATCAAAACACTACTAAAGCTTGAATCGTCATTGCCGGAGCTGTAGTCGTCATCAATGGAGCTCAAATCATTATCACCGAAGCTCGAATCATCATCATCGCCCAAGCTCTTTACGTTTTCTCAAGGGAAGTCACATGAATCGGCTTCTTCTCACTCATTCTCTCGTTTTTTCAGGTAAAACAAAAATAAAGAAAAAAAATGCGGATCCTTGTAATCCTGCGGGACCCGTTTCGGCCCATCCCGCAAAAGATCCAAATCCCGCAATGACCCATCCCGCGAGGCTCACAAATTTGCGGGCCTAGAAAATCTCGTCCCAATACCATCCCACGACAGTTCTTTATGGGCTAGGCCCGCGGTCCATATCCATGATTGCCATCTCTAATTAAATGAGAGCCTCCATCGCTTATTACCACTCCACGAACTCCAAATCTAGGAAAAATGATACTTTTGAAAAATTTCACGACTACAACAGCATCATTCTTTGGGGATGCTATTGCTTCTATCCAATTAGAAATATAGTCGACATCGAATAGGATATATTTGTTCCCGTATGAAGAAGGAAAATGGACTCGATGCCCCAGCAGTCAAACACTTCCACTTCAAGAATGAAATTCTGTTGCATTTCGTGTCTTTTGCTGATTTTTCCTCTTCGTTGACAGTGATCACATTGTGCTATGTAGGACTGAGCATCCCAAAACATGGTAGGCCACAAGAAGCATGCTTGTAGAAGCTTAGAAAATGTCTTGAAAGTTGCGAAGTTCCCAGCGTAATCTGATCCATGGCAGTGAAATAGAATGTCTGAAACTTCAGAATCCGTGACACATCATCTATACATTCCGTTGGAGAATTGTTTGTAGAGGTATGGTTCATCCCAGTGATATCTTCTGGTTTCTCTCATAAACTTCTTCGTCTTCTAAAAACCTCTGATTTCTTCTGGCTCGACGTCATCAGCTAGGTAGTTTACTATATCAGCATACAACTACCTATCTGAACTGGTTGCAGCCAACGCACATACCCCCAAACTATAACTTCTACCAATGGAAGAATCCATATCGGTTTGCGTAAGGTGGTGAGCGACATTGATATCTATGTCTTTGTGTGCCTTATTGTGATGGTCGTCTAAGGTGTCGATCGATACCTCACATTGAGTATCAATCGATGATGTCTTAGATGTACGACACACATTACGTATTAATATTGATTCTGCTAGATAGACATT